CTAATGCAGACCCTCCTTATAAGATAATAGACTGCTGAATGAGCGCATTTTTGACCGGGCATTTGGCTACTCGGGCATAACAAAGAAAATCACAGGTTCTAATCTTTTAATTACTGTGTCACACGCACTCCATGTGCTCAGGTCGGGCCATGCTAATTCAACAGGTTGGTTCTTGTCAATAGGAAGAAAAAATGGGGCTAAACTCTGAAACTAAAAGAAATCTTAACATAAAAACCCAACGAATGAGGAAAAACTGTAGCTAGGGAGTCCTCATGATCATTGGATGACACAAACTGAGTCTGTATCTGTTTCTGTATATCGCTGGTATACTTTGGCGTAACACACCAGCTTTGCAGGCACGCAGTGCGGCGACAGTTGGCTATATTACACTGAACGACTAGCTACACCTAACCCTTGAACGTCTAGATCTAACTCTAAACATTGTTTAAAGCTATCTAGTGCCCCTACTGAGGTAATTCAGACTTAAAGTCTAAGTCTAAATTCCCCTGCAGGCCAGCACATGATCACCGTTTGGCCTGGCCCTCTTCCAGGCTAAGCAGCAGGAGCTCTTTGCCACGGCCCTACTCAATTATGCTACCTGGTAGGTTTTGGATGACGTCTCAGAGTTCAATTAGCCCACCATGAATACTGTGGTGCCTGACCTTAGCAAGCAAACTCCTGCCATACAAAACTCCCATCTGGCGGCCATTTGAGATATGGCAGGGAGAAAACTACTACTTAAAGTACAGCTCAGAGCCAGCCCCGATTATATTTTTATTGCTCCTTGCTGCACCAGAGCCAAGCAGAATGTTGGATCGTAAAAAGTGCCGGGCAGCTGTTAGGAGGGAGCCTTCCTAGCCTCCACCAGGCCTTTCTACGGGAATATGGATCATAGAATTCAGCAGAAAAGATAGTAAAATTGGCCAAGGGAGTCCGGCCGCGGGGAGGTAGTTTCTTTCCCTCCTAAGGGTGGCCAATCAAACCTACAAGGCGGCCAAACTCCCCTGGCAAATTTAAACATTCTCCTATTATAAATAGCCAGCGTAGTTAGTTTGGTAGAGACTAGAGCCTTCTTGTGTGAGGTCTGGTTCCCAGGCACATTAAAACTCTACCTGTAAATCCACTAGACTGCATGCAGCCTTAATTAAATCATGTGTCATAGGTCAAACGTCGTCAAATCAACTGGGGAGGAACAAGTGGTCTTTCAAGTTTTGTTTATCAGATTCTCTCAAGGTCATGAGGTGCTCACACACAAAAAATGAAGTCACAAATCACACAGGCCAAAGCTAATACATAATATAATGTATATATGTTTAGATTTTGGGTTTACGTGTGCTACCATACCAATTTGACTTTATCTTTTGATCTAAGAATCTTGTCTGGCTGCAAGTTACCTAATATCCAAGCAGATGTTTAGGTGGCCGCAAAAGACAGTATCAAATTGGCCAAGCAGTATCCATTGGCCAGACTGTATTGGGTGGCAAATGGATACAGTCTAGCCAATGGATTATGCTTGGCCAATTTGATACCGTCTTTTAATTTGCGGCCCGACCTAAACATCTGCTTGGAGAGTACTCTAAGCTCTTTACCACGGACTCCTTGAGAGTCGTAATCACCTTGTCAAGTGTTTGACCTGAGCAAACAACTGAACTGAGTTCAAGGCCCAAGGAGTCAGTCACCCTGTACTAATGGTTTACGATGGTTGACATGTCTCAACTCAAAAATTAACTTGAATGTAGACATTTGAAGTTTTACAAATGATGGCATGTTATTACTTGTTAGGGAAAAGTGATGCCGCTTTACACTGTGACAACTTACTATTAAACTGTATGGTACCTACTAGTAAAATACACGTACTTAAAACTAAGTACTTACTAAGTGCCTGGCATGGGGGCACAGTGCTACTATAGTTGACACGTCTCAACTCAGAAATTAGCTTGAATGTAAACAGTTGAAGTTATACAAATGATTCATATAAGGCAAAACTGATGCTACTTTACATACGTTACTTACTAAACTGTACGGTACTTACTAGTAAAATACATGTACTTAAAACTAAGTACTTACTACATGCCTGGCATAGGGGCACAGTGCTACTATAGTTGACATGTCTCAACTCAGAAATTAACTTGAATGTAGACAGTTGAACTTGAAGTTTAACAGACGACTCATGTCAGGGAAAACTGCCGCTTTACACACAACCTAGTAAACTGTAGGGTACCTACAAGTAAAATACATGTACTAAGTACAAAGTAAGTAAGTGCCTGCCATGGGGGCACAGTGCTACAATAGTTGACACGTCTCAACTCAGAAATTAACCCAAATGTAGACAGTTGAAGTTTCATAAATGACTCATGTTAGGCAAAACTGATGCCTCTTTACACACAACTTACTAATTCATACTGTACAGCACCCAATTACTAGGCTAATGGTAAAGTACTCAAAACTACTAAGAATCTTAACCAACTGTCTTAAGTGCCTGGGGGCACAGTCCTACTGTGTTAGCCAATTACAAGGTAACTTTTTGGGTGGACCTGACTACAGGAATGTTGGTATGGGGTAAAAAGCCAAAACAAATCAAACAGGGAGTTTGGAAACATGATTTACTTTTATTTTTAGATCTGTTTGTAAATTACTGGTCAAGAAAACCGCAGGGGTCGGTCAAAAACCCCAGAACAAATTTACTAGACAGTACTAAGACTGTGACAATAGGAAATGGATTAATTTAAACAAATAAACAAAGTTGTTTACCATACAATATAGTAGTATAGACTGTAAATTACCTGGAGTTGCTTTATGTAACATGTGATTGTTGCGAGGGGCATTAAACTTTAAGTTCATGGCCTAACTTGGAAATCAGGTGAACAACTCAAATCATTGTGATCATGAATTTACATTGCAGGAAATGCCATTTTGAAAATCAGTGACATTATGTCATTAGGTAAAGAAGGGGGAAAACCCAAGTGACAATTGATCTCACTTCTTCTTTCCTGTTAAGATACTACAGGATTCCTCAAAAAACATTTTGACATGTACAATTGGTCATTAATTATCCTGATGAAGGCAACAGTAGTTGTTGAAAATTTGATCTCTCTAGATCTGTAACCCCAATGGAATAAAGTTCAACGTTTTAAATGATTACTACTAACACTGATGAACTTTCATGACATTTTGACAATGACAATGCTTTGGAGATCTGTCAGCCATACGGAGCACCTGGCAAGGTAGAAACAATACACACACAGCCCAGATCAGCACAGTTCTTAATGAAAGTGTTTTTTCTACTTACCTGCTAATTTTCAGAAGGGCACTGTCTGCAAACTGAGTATCATGATGACTGGAGTCTTTGTAGACAGTCATAAGTGCAACATGTGGATCCTAATAAATTCAGCTCAACTCAAGAGGCTACTAGTAGTCGACCTTCAAAATAATGAGCTACTAGTAATTGACCTTCACAATAATGAGCTCTTATTTGCCTGGGCGAGGTCGAGATGACCTTTAGTTGGAACGCGTGACTGATAGTCACACACCATAATTACGGAACAACCACGAAGTAAATTAGACATGAATCATACTGGGTCTGTGCAGTCTTTGGTTTGGCAATAGTATGCATGTAGGTTTTGGCCAGTGAATTTCAAATTTAGGGACAGACTTGCACCTAGCCTGGTAACTGTCTACCATATGGGCTAGCCGGTATGTCCACTTACTACGGTGCTCAGACTAGTAGTGTCCGCCCACCAGCCCAGGTCGAATTTTGCTCCAGGGTATTTTATAGGGTCGTTTTCAATTAGTTTGGACACAATAGTTAGAAAGGCCATGGCCAGCTGGAAATATGTTGCATGAGGAAGAATTATGGGAAGAAGGGAAGAACTAGAAACATGTATGCTTAGTACATGTAGGTCTAGATCTGGAGCTGGTAAAACACTCCTAACTTTGAAAATTCGGGCCAAAGCCAGCCTATGGAGAATGGACGGTATAAATTAATACCTGAAAATACCGTTGTATGTATGTATACTAAGTTATATCAAGTGAACACAAATGTGGGGCCGTGTGGAGTAACGGCACTGGGCATTCAGCTCAGAACCAAGATCCTGGGTTCGAATCCTACTATGTCACCACCCTATATATGTCATTAGGAAAGGCACTTGCCTCACTTCTCTCAGGTGAAAATGAGTATGCCAGAATGATCATGATCGTGGGCATTAAAAGAAAAACCAAACCAAATCTAACTCTGGCGACAGACAAAAGTCATATTAGTGTTTCTAATAAATTCAAGGCAAATACAACATCAGATTCTATTGTTGAACTGTTTCTTTCAGTACAAGTGCAGCTGAGGAAACAGTTGGAGAACAGTTGTAGGGCCGGTACCATTGTGTGATAGTGGACCATCCATCTTCATCTTTAAGTCATCTATCTGGGATGTACCTTCACATCCTGACAAGCTGATCTCAAGCCAAGGAGAGGGCCTGCATGCCCTTTGTCGTAAAGCGTAATCAGGCCTTAAAGCTTTTTAGTCTTTGTAATCTGCAGGCAGCCATCCAAAATCATCGTAATTCGTTAGCTCTAACTATTAGTAATTTGTAAATGGCGGTGAAAATTTTGCATAATTTGTGATCACTACGTCCCCCCCCCCCATGCAAGTCAAACTAAAAAACTCAAAGATGGCCCAGTACTAGTACATCACCTCACTAGTAACGTTACGTACATGCAAGGACAAAATACTAGTTCTCCTAGGGACAAAGTCTGATACATTTTACCAAGGCCATTAAAAGTTATATAATGTCCTAGATTTTACATAACGTTGACACAAAACCTTTATCATAATTTAAGAGTACCAAGCAAGACTTAGCAAAAATTCTGCTCTAAGATATATTACAAGTACAGGTAACGTTTTAGAATCATTTAGTAGTAGTAAAATTACATGGACTGGTATAGATAAAAGAAATCACAGAGGTTATAATTTATAAGAGGGACAACTGTCAAAAGAAAATGTAACGCACCTGACTATGGTCATCTATTGGGCTCCATGGCTTAATGCTTCAGTGACCAGAACTGCCCGGCTGGCAAACGGAACGTCAGTCAAGTATTTGTCCTGTAAACAGCCTTAATTTTCAAGATCTTTGGAGTCATTCACTGTAGACTGTCCTAGATAGTCGGTGGTTGACCCCCAATTGTGTCCCGATACGACAAGTTCTCGACTCAGAAATTCACTGGGAAGTAGACAGTTAGTTGTGCAGACGAGTCATATTGTGGAAACTGCACCAACGTTTCGATGACAGGTCTAGGTTAGGTAGTAAAGCCACAAGCCACAGAAAGTGACAAAGATGCGCCATAGTTGCGGTTGAACTTTGGCCTCCAGTATCGGTTTGACCTGCAGTACACTCGGACTGGTCTAAATACAAACGGGGGAGGAAGAGGACTTGTTTTTACTAAACAACAAACACATTTCATCATTAACTAGTAAGTCGGACTTTTATATATATTATAATGCTTAAAATACACTTTGATTATCTTACTAAGTGGTTAATTACTGATATTTTTTTTATTAGTTTAAAAGTCAACACCCCTATGATACAAGTGACATTCTGAATGTGATCTTCTTTCGAGTGTGATCAACATCAAAACGTACCAAAATTATGCTATTTGATGGTTTGATACATTTAAATCCTTAAAAGATAGCTGTAAACATATATTTTTGTTATCTAATTTTTCTGGACGATATTACGGCAGTTGTTGATATTTGACACATGTTTTCTCGTTTTATGATAGCTTTAGTGTTTTTGTTGTGTTTTTGCGGTCGTCAAAATGGCTGGTCTTGTAGCGGACTACGATTCGGACGACACTTCGGACTCAGAAACCACAAATAAAGAACGATTTGAGGAGACTACGAGGTGTGTGAATGTGAGACGAAGAAAGTATGCACCCTTACCTGTTCAGTAGATGGTCGTTAATGCCATAGAAAGTTTTCCATCGCTTGGTTTTTACGTGTGTGTGTGTGGCTAGCTGTCCTGTCACTCAGAAAAAATTATACGCTTCGTTCCCAGTTTCTTCTTAGCTTTCCCTTATGATGACTCACATTCTTTCCCAGATGAATACTCAAGAAATAGAGACTGAAACTTGCATCAGGACATTATTCACTGCGATACAATCTGTGAAACTCACATGGATAGAACCAAGGAAACTAATTTGTTGTTGCTGACAAAGAAATTACTATACGAGAATGCCCCCCTCCCCATTCTAAAACATAATCTGGTGTTTACACTATTTTTTATGTAACGCTACATGTATTTCATTTGGTTTTTATTCTGACAACTTTGTTCTGATAACTTAATGACATTATTTGTTATACTTACATCGCAAACCACAAACTGTTTGTAGAAATTGACTGAGGTAAATACTTTACACAAATTATGTATTGTTGTTCTTTCTATAGAGAAAACCGTAAAAGAACGAATTACCTTGAAGGAGGGTCTTCATCATCTTCGGATTCTGAGGACAATGATGTCCCATCGCCAGATCAAACCAATTCTACAACAGAACTTAGACAGAAACTCCCGTCTCCAAACCTGTTGAACGTACAGAACAGGAATCCAGTAGGAGGGACGGTAAAACTGCCCAACCCTCTACTCGGTGTTCCAACCACGAGGACAAATGATCGGATAACGCCAGCAGAGCAGACTGCCTCCATTTTCCACAACCCATTCCGTCTAGCGGAACGAGAGAAGGAGAAGGTTCTGGAAAAGCATGTGAAATTGACGTCGAATGAGAAACCTTCGCACATCGCGGGGAAGAAAGTCTGCTGGAACTATCGCAAGGGGAGGTGTCGCTTCGGACACAACTGCAAGTACGCACACGACAGCGATCTCCCCTTCTCACAACAACAGCAACACCCTGAAGCTCCCACAGGTGCTGTATCTTCACCTGCTGGGTTCTTTGAACAGCCTGAAGTGCTGAATGATGACGAAGACCCGGATAACCCAGTACAACAGAGGAGAAAGAGGCCAGGGCTGAGCCAGACTCTTCAGCCACCGAAAAAAAGCATCAAGGCCTACCAGAAACAGCAGGCAGTGGAGAGGCCTTGGATGGCCCAGAAGTGAAGCCAAGAAAGTTACGAAGATTGAAACAGCAAATAATATAGCCTGGATGCAAGGCTGTTGGCAGGACCCACACAGGCCAGCTCCTCGGCTATTGGGCCAACATACCCCCACGGTGACATGCCCACAAGGTAGCCTCCTGTGCAGGCCCCGCGGCGGTGGGAAGAGTTTTTAACGTATTATTCTAATATATCCGGCCATCCTACATAGCCACCGAGAGAAGGTTCCATTCCGCCTTCTCTCGGTGGCTATGTAGGATGGCCGGCTATATTAAAATAACGCGTTAAAAACTCTTCCCCACTGCCGCGGGGCCTGCACAGCAGGCTACCCACAAGGAAATTCTACCACAGAGCTCACCTAACCCCCTTCAGCTACTTAGTACACCCTGAATGCCAAACTCAGGGGGGTGGGAAAGAAATTTTCCAGGGGTATTTTGACCCAAGGAACCTGCCTGTATAGGCCCAGTCTGGCATTCATGCCAAAAATAACTTGGAATGGAATAAATACACAAGAGAGGTTGTGTGCCCACCTGTCTCATTTTTTAGTCTACAGATATTATGCTATACCTTCTTTACAACAGTTTATATACAATAGTGTACATGCATATCACAACTTGCAGTACCAAAGAAACATGTTAGGAGGCACTGCTACATTGATAGCAAGGGCTGTCCACATCAAAGTGGATATTAAATGACAAGACAAATTGGAAAGGGTACAGAATCAAGCTGCAAGATTCTGTATGAACAACTATGTAAGAGGTGCTAGTGTCACGGAAATGAAAAGAAACCTACAGTGGACCTCACTTGAAGACAGAAGAAAGATGTCTAGACTATGCATGATGTACAAAATGACTAATAAACTGGTGGATGTCCCAACTACTAAGTACCTAATACCAGCCCAGAAGAGAACAAGAAATAGCCACGCATTCAAGTACCAGAGTTATCAACCAAGGATTGAGGTGTTCAAGAATTCATTCTTTCCTAGAACTATCGCAGAGTGGAACTCACTGTCACCAAGTACAGTAGGGGCACTGTCAATAGATAGCTTTAAACAATGTCTAGAGCTAGAAGTTCAAGGGTTAGGTGGAACAAGTCGATCGGTGTAATATAGCCAGCTGCCGCCGCGCCGCGTGCCTGCGAAGCTGGTGTGTTACGCCGAAAGGCGGTTATACTGGCTATACAGATACAGAAGCTGGTGTGTTACGCCGAAAGGCGGTTATACCGGCTATACAGATACAGAAGCTGGTGTGTTACGCCGAAAGGCGGTTATACCGGCTATACAGATACAGATACAGAAATGGAGGATAAAAGAAGATAGTCTGGTCAAATCTCAAAACCAAATTCAACATGAAACATGATTTTTTTTATTAGGCACAAAATTTGGATAACAATACAGCATGGATGGATAAAAACTTGTATAAGTTAAAATTATTGTAGTTTGACAACGGTCTGGACATGGGACAAGAAAATGACAGCAAAGTTGTATATGCTTTGCTTCATACAATTTAGTAGAAAACTGCAAACAAGAGAAGCTGGTTAAAATTTCAATGAATTACAATTATGTAATAACGTTACATGTACTACAAATGATTTCAATGGACTGCACATACTTAACTGCACAATGGATGGCTTTCAATGTTGTAATTGTTGGGAAACTTTGTATTGTGCTAAATATTAACACTGTTCATGATTGGACAAAGAGTACAATCTTTTTATAATACACATAGGGTCTGGGCAAGCCACCGGACATAATGATGATGATACACTCTACAAGGTACATGTATAATGAAAAGTCAATATACTTGCCAGGCAATATAATTGGCTTGTATAATTTTGTGTGCATAAACATCACATACATCAGAATGTCCTGACAAAGACACAGAATGATCATCATTCATTCACACATAACAAGGTTGAAAATCAATGAGAACCAGAACCAGTCCTTAGCTAGCATTTCCTTGAAGGTTTGCCTGAATGACAGTCTAAGATGGTGGAAGTCTCTCCTTAACCTTGTCCTCGATATTACTGAAGTATTGCATCCTGGTCAAGATGTCCTTGGCTTTAGTAATGTCACCTGGAAGGAATAATAACATCTTTATTTTGAAAGTTCATCAGTATTGTTGAATTTATTACGAGGCAAGTTTAAACCCAAATTTTCTGCAACCTATGATCCACTGCTCACTGAGTCAGGTGTTCTATCTGCATAACATGACGTCACAGAAGCGGTGGATTGTTGACCATTGTAAATTTGGGTAAGTCCAATTTCTTGTGTTGGAAATTACAGTTGAAACTTGTCTCATTAACATTTACCTTCATGATAAATCTTGATGAAGGTATTGCCAAGCACCGCACAGATAAATTTGGGAAAGACACAAACACAAAGTTTATGTAAAACATAGTTAAATTGTGAATCAGTCAGAGTAAGTCAACCCACCTGCATCAAAAGCACCTGACAATTCCTTACAAAGTCTGCCCAGCTTTTCTGTAAAAAAAAAGAATGAAAACGTATAAATTCAATTGGAATTGTAAGACGTTGAAATACAAGTTGTATGGATCATGAAGATTCGATATATGTACCACAGTAAAAGGAAAATATCCTTAATATGTTGATCTTTTCAACAATTACAAGTCTTTACAAGTATTTACAAGTACTAGTAAGTCCCGAGACCCCTTCCAGTAGCATGTGAGTTAGCTTGAGATAGTAACATCCAAAATCATAACTTTGCTATCTCTAGTAGAAACAAAAGAAACTAGGAACTAGGAAATTGTAACAATTCTGCCTCCCAACATATCTACTTAGCGATTAAGACCAGACCTCTGTTTTCCTCTGCGATGCTTCTGACTTCCTCGTCTGTCTGTGCTTCTCCCAATCTCTCGTTCGCTTCCATCACTTCCATCAGCAGCTGCGGTTCTGACAGTTTCTCTCCTTCCTCGATACTCTCTCCTGCTAGCTGTAGCTTTTATTGGAGAAACAAGAACATATGAAATGTAACTAGAAACTGTTTTAAGGAAACATTTGTAAAGCAAGTGCATAAAGTAATGTTTACCTTCACATATTCTAGCCTAACAAACTACTGCTTTGTCCTTGATCAAAAACATGATCATCCATATACAGTATAAGGTGAACAGCCCCTCTAACTCTGCCTTGCAACTTGCAATTGCAACACAATGTAACCCAACACCACAGGGTGTCTGCTACAGCACCAGTTACCATGGTGACAGCCATCTGGTCCAGGTCATTGACCTTATGTGTTTGGAGAGGAAGAAGAAGAAGAAACAGCAAAAACAATTTTTACGTTCTCTGAATCTGATGAATAATTAAAGCTAGAAGACACTGTATGTCAACAATAGTCAATAGGTGTTGACTGCTTTAAAATCTGTGAAACTCAATAAACAAAGAAACAAACAAACAAGAACGTACCATATAGAGCCCTCTGCTGAGAGGCTTCTGTAGAGTCCAGTAGGCCTTGTTCACCCAGGCTGACTGGGCTGAGGCATAGTCTTGCTCCACCTGTCAAGATAAATTACATTATAATTTGAAAAAAAATCTTATACAGTTTGAACTTATAATAATTGTACAAAACTAGTGTACAATGTACATACTAGTACCTAAAAGCAGTTTACCAGTTATGTTATAGAGTAGAGTAGAGTAGAGTAGAGTTGATTCATGCCGGGTAGGAGTCCTGCTCCAATTTGGGCCGCTCTTCAGTTTACTGACATCTCTGGACGTAGTGGGTGGTCCAAAGCTCTATAATTGTAGACGACCGGGTGTGTTTCCATATACTCGTCAAACCTCTTCTTGAAACTGTTTACACTAGGCGCCATAACTACCTCCCCAGGAAGCTCATTCCACCAGCTTGCCGTTCTATTTGTAAAGAAGTGTAGGCGCATATTTGTTTTTGCCTGCGTCCTCTTTATTTTCAGGTGATGACCTCTAGTTCTCTTCTCTGTTGTTATTGGTAGTAGACATGCTGTATTGTACATCCCGTGTGTGTATTTATAAACATTGATCATGTCACCCCTCAATCTCCTGTAGACCAGGGTAGGTAGTTTTAGTTTCTTGAGCCTCTCTGTGTATGAAAGATCCTGCAGGCCTGGTACTCTCTTTGTCGCTCGCTTCTGTACTTTCTCTAGTTCTGTAGCGAGTTTCCAAGTATGTGGGGACCAAATGGGGGCTCCGTACTCTAAGTGAGGACGGATAATGGTCTTGTAAAGAATGAGAAACATTTCTAAGTCCATGTGTACAAATGTTCTCCATGTTAGCCCCATTATTTGGTTTGCTTTTTTTACTAATAGTTGTTATATGATTGGCAAAGCCCAAGTCTCTGTCTACTAGGATTCCCAGGTCTTTCTCTTCTGAGGAAACCTTCAGGGATATAGGTAAGGGGTTGTTGTTTTCGGACATGTTATAAGTGAAGTTCGGGTGGCCACTACCAACCCTTAGGACCGTACATTTATCAGGGTGGAATTTGAGCTGCCACTTGTCGGCCCATTTTTGTAGACTAGACAAGTCTTGTTGTAGAGCTTCACAGTTTCGTACTTGTGGTACTGGTCTAAACAACTTTGTGTCGTCCGCAAACAATTTCAGAGAACAGTTTACCACTTCTGGCATGTCATTCACGTAGATAGTGAACAAGACCGGACCTAAAACACTGCCCTGTGGGACTCCGCTGTAGACTTCTCCCCATCTAGAGCTGCTTTCATTGATACATACTTTCTGTTTTCGGTTCTGTAAAAAGGATGAAATCCACTTAAGAAGGTTTCCTTTGATCCCATAACTTTCTATTTTGTTCAGAAGTCTTTTGATCGGGACCGAGTCGAATGCCTTGCGAAAGTCCATGTAAATTATGTCCACTGGTTGACCTTCATCTATCCAGGTTGACCAGCTTTCCAGGCATTCTAGGATTTGGGTGACTGTTGACCTCCCAGGGAGGAATCCATGTTGTTGACTTGTGAAGAGGTTGTTGTCTGTCATATGCCTTATGATTTCATCCCTGATTATACCCTCCAACAGTTTCCCAATCACAGACGTTAAACATACCGGTCTGTAATTACTGGGGTTCTTTTTGCACCCTTTCTTGTATATTGGTGAGATGGTACCAGTTTTCCACTCCGTTGGGAGTTTCCCCTCTCTTAAGGACTTCTGAAAGAGTATGCTCAGTGGGTGAGACAAAGTATCCGCCAATTCCTTTATCACTCTGGGGTGTATTTTGTCTGGTCCCATGGCTTTGTTTTGATTTAACTTCTTCAGTCTTTTATTAATTTCTTCGGGACTTGTTTCAATGTCAGTTAGCTCTTCTTTGTAGTCCTTATGCTCTAGTGTTGGGATATCTTGCATGTTTTCTTTCGTAAATGTACTGATAAAGAAGTTGTTTAGTATTTCTGCCTTTTCTTCGTCTGTCTTGGCAATTTCATCACCGTCCTTTAAGTCCGGGATATTGTCTCTTGTTTTGGACTTTTTGTTTACGTACTTCCAGAATAATTTGGTATTACCCTTAATGTTCATAGCCACTTCTTTCTCATGTCTTTTGGCCGCCTTCCTTGATGCCCATCGTGCCTGATTTCGTGCTTTTGTGTATTTAATGTGCATGCGCATGCGCCGTTTGAGTTTTCATGCCAGTTTGAGTATACTTTTTCCAAGCTTTCTGTTTATTCTTCATTTTCGCTATTGTTTGACTGTCGGTCCATGATAGCCTTCTCCTTCTATTTGAGGATTTGACTTTGGGTACATTCTTGTGAACTGTATCTTTCAAGGTTTTGGAAAACACGACCCAACTCTCTTCAATATCCAGTTCCTGAAGTGTTTCATTCCAATCCTTATTTAAATCTTCTTTCATATTTTCATAAGAACCTTTGTGGTATTGAAAGATTTCTCTTCTCACATTTCTTTTCTTTGCATAGCATTTGAAAGTCCACCTTAACACTGCATGGTCACTTTTTCCTACTGGTGGTAACATTGTCACCGAGTCAATCATTCCCTTCTCGTTCGTGAAGACCAGGTCTAGTACATTGCTTTCCTGGTTTATTTGGTGTCTTGTTGCAAAGTCCACATGCTGGTATAGGTATGCGTCCCTAGTAGCCTCTAGGAATTTGCCGGCTTCACAGTTAGGTGAGTAGATTGAGCCGTCTCCATTGGCCCATAGGATTTTTGGGTAGTTAAAATCCCCGGCTATTAATACGTGCGAATAGCCCTGGATATTGCGTATGATGCTATTTAGACTATGATTGTTTTCGACAGATGAGTTCGGGCTTCTGTAGATCCCCAGAATTAGTAGTCTGTCATTTTTGTTCAGCGTCATCTCCACTGAAATCACTTCTGAGACATGACCCTGAGCTGAACCCAGTTTCTCTGCTTCCATAGAGTTGTAGGCATCTTTCACGTGGATGGACACGCCCCTCACACCTCCTGTATCAGCATTTGTAAATAGGTTAAACCCCGGAATATGCAGATCTACTTTTGTCATTTTATATCTTGAGTTTTTTGGGTTCGTCTCGGTTGTGATAATAATGTCAGGTTGCTGTTCATCAATAATAGCGCAGAATTCATGTTTTTTATTTGTGATACAATCAATGTTTGTGTAGATAACCTTCAGCTGCTTTCCCTCATCTTCAGCCCTCGTGTTTCCACTAGCCAGTTTTATACTTCTAGATTCATGGCTTTTTGTGCTAGTGGCAATGTCTTGATTAGGTTGAAGTCTTATATCTCTTCTTCTGATACTAGATTGCTGTTTTTCCTCTGTTTCTTTCTTATGATCTGTAGCTTCGGATATGTCCCTCTGACCACATGTATGTAGTCCCCCTTCACTTCTTGTTGCGTTCGGTTTTTTGCCTCTTGAACCAGCGCTTTTATCTTCTCTCTCTCGTCTCTACTAAAATCTGCTGTCACACTTATCCTTCTGATTTGATCTTCAGCGCCTTTTAGTTTATAGAGCCTATTTAGGATGACGGCCCTGTCCTCTTTGTTTTCAAGGGTGATCTTTAGTGGTCTTCCTCTTTTCGAGTCATTGTCTGTTTTCTTCCCAAGCCTGTACATCTCTTTTACCTTCACATCCACTTCTAGGTGGTTTTCGAAGAGGTCTTTTACAAACTCTTCGTCCTGTTTCTTCCTCATGTCTTTACGGTCGGTTTCATCTACGTTGTGTATGATAAGGTTATGATTTCTTCTCTCTTGTTCGTCTACTGCTTTTCTTTGTTCCACCAGAGCTTCCTTTAGGATTTTTGCCAAATCTGGTGTTCTAGCTTTGTGTTTAGTCACTGTTATCCATGGCCCTTGGTTACCATCTTCCCCGACTACTTTATTAGTGTCGTTTTCATGTGTGACTGTCTGTACGGTTTCCCCTTTACTTTGTACATCCTCGTCTACTACTTCTTCTGTGACTTTCACTGCCAATTTGGCCTGTGTCTTCTGTTCTTGCTGCATGCTGTCTACTTTGTTTTCCAGTAATGATATTTTCCCCACGATTTCGTCTAGTTTTTCCACAATGTTAGGTACACTAGCTGTGCAACTATTACTTCCTTTGAAGCATTGCTTAACCCTCTCCTTACAGCTGGTGCAAAACCAGCAAACATCGTCCCTTTGGAGCCTGCTCAGTGCTTTGAATTCTTGTTGGGTGAGGCTTGTACATGACAGGCATAAATGGTTGTTACATCCATCGCACGTAAGTGCCTGGCATCCCTCGTCATCCCTTAATACGGTATTGCATTTCTTACATATCCATTCCTCTGTTCCATCTGTATTTGATGTTTTTACATGGCCTGTGTTTCCCCCTGCTCCTTTCTTTTTTAACTTCCCCTTCTTTGGTGGGGTTATCCCCCGATTTTCTTGGCTCATTGCTAGCTCCTTGTCTATGGTAGATAATAAGGAATAAGGTACTTGCGCTTTCGTGTACTCTGTCTTGGTGTTTGTTGTTCTTTCCTTGACCTCTCGTGGCTTTCTTTTACTTCCGGTTCTGTGAGGCTTCCCCTTCAACTTCTGTGATTGTGTAGACCCTCTAGGCCTTTTGTGCGTGATAAGAATACTTGTGGCTTTTATCCTCGTCTGGTTCACAGGTGTTTTCACCTTTGTTTCTTCCTCTATTACTAGCTCTCAGTCTTATTCTTCTGGGATTTCTCCCCTTGCTTGCCTTCTTCTGGGATTTCTCCCCTTGCTTGCCTTCTTCTGGGATTTCTCCCCTTGCTTGCCTTCTTCTGGGATTTCTCCCCTTGCTTGTTTCCTTCTGGATCCTTTCTTCTGGGGTTACCCCCCTTGCTTGCTTCGTTAAGGAGCCCTGTTGACTTTCCGAGGACTTTGATGCAGGTAGTTTCCCTTATCGGATTCCCCTCCACTCCTGGTATCCAAACCTCGGTCCACTGGACTTTCCGCCAGGGAAACTTCAGAAAGACACGTAAAACTGCGGTCAAAACTCTACTCTACTCTTCCCTGTTTTAGTTGAAAATCCTGCTGGGCTTTCCCGCCCGTGGAATCTCCCAGGTAGGGCCGAAGTTATCCAAGTTTCTCCCGATTCAGAAAAAATCCAATATGGCGCCGTTAGACGCCGCGGCGTGGTTCCTCTAAAATACTCTCAAATCACTTTAAAAAATACGTTTTACACCTAACTAGACTATAAAAAATGTCCCTAATGCTAAAAACGCCTAAAGTACTGATTCGCTGACGGAAAGTTTAAAAAAAGTACTTAAAAAACTCAAATAAAAGTAACTGATTGCAGGAGCAAGTTGAAACACGTCCTTCCGATTCGGCGCATGCGCATTGTCATAGTGAAGACAGAGAAGCTGTCGTGAAAATCGTAGTACAGCTTTCAATATGCATATTATACACAGTTTGTAAATTGTACATAGTCTGTACAAAACTTCTGTGACCATTTGAAGATCCTAACCTGCCCATGTTGTGAGAATCTATCAGGGTGCAGAAGCCGTTGAAGGTCCTTGTACTTTGCTGAGAGTCTGCTGTTGTCGATGTCAAACTTCCTGGCACTGAAAAAAAATACCAACTTAAGGCTTACTGAAGGAAAACATATTGTTTTTGCTCAGGTTCCTCTTAACTCTTCTCCTTCTTCTCCAAACAAATAAGGTCAATGACCTGAACCAGACGTCTGTCACCATGGTAAGTAACTAGTATATGTAGTGTTGGGTTCCATCGTGTTGCAATTTTATAGCAGGAAGGATTTAGACTCCTGTCACCATTTATATGGATGTGTTTGAGTAACAGAGAAGACCATATGCGAAGATAAACATGATGCATTAGCTTTGCAAAATTATGTTACGTTTCTAGTTTATCTAATTTGAATTTTGTAACATAACGTTACCAGTCCATGACGTCGAACAGCGTGGCCTGCTCCGCTGGCGGCTGGACGGCCTGACAGGACGGACAGAAGAACCAGTCTGTCGTCTGTCTGCTGCAGCTCCAACACGCGCGACTCACACTACAGTAACTCCTCCTCAAGCCGGGCAGCAAACCGGCAACCTTAGCGCCGCTTTCACAACGAAAAATACAAGTTCTAGAGGCTATGTTAGAAGACGAGAAGGTTGCTTGAAGTGTTACTGCATGCCGCAAATCTGTCTTTGAAAGTAGCGTTATAGTTCTCGTGTGTTGAAGGAGGAAAGAGACGTTTTTCTCGAAAAAGTACAGCCGAGCGCAAGAAAATGCGACTTTGGCAGCCATGTTTGTGACTTGTGACCTTTGACCCCTGGTTGTCTCATTGAAAGAGAGCCCTCTTGCATGTCATTTCTAAACTGCAGGGTAAGCTTTGTGTAGTTGGGTTAGGCCACAACAAGTTTATGGATAACGCACCTCCTTATCTGATGCGATAGGGGGAAAAGGTGGGCCAAAACACAAGGAGATTTCTACTTTAACAAGAATTCAGCAGCAGCATCATATACAAATGTATAAAGAAAATACAACACTGCAACAAAGTAAAAGAAAAACAATAAATCAGAGCATTGCCTTGTCTTCTCTTTTTATATTTATCTGTCATCCAAGTTAATTCCAGCATGGCAACAGATAACAGTCACTAAGTACAGTTACTAGTATATTTGCAAGTAGCCCTAAGCCCTTCTCTCCAAGCAGAGGTTCGGGCTTTGTTTATTTTTGGCGTGTTTTTGTTTTACTAGTGGGGCTTTCTTTTTGTACTGGTATCTTCTTGGAGCTCGCACAAAGCAAAAGCCTAAAAAAAAAACGTTTAAAATGGCAACGACCGACCCTGACACGAGACGAAAGGTAGCGGCGCGAGACACCAGGTGCTGGTGGTGCTGGGCTGATTGCTTCAAGGCTCTCTCATCATCTCATCACCGTGTCTTCTCATCTAACTACGTCGCCGCTGGGGCTAATCTCCAAGCATATCCCTCGGTGGCAAAAAGACAGTATCAAATTGGCCAGGCAGTATCATACAAACATACATGTAGTAGCCAGAGAAGGTCGCCTACCACCGACGTGGGTAGCGACAAAAAAACAGGCCATATATAAAAAACTAACGATCGTTCCCCCACAACCTCTGCCTCTGCTTGGAGAGTACGATGGAGCACCATTGAACGTTACACTTATTAGTGTCCTGCTGGTCCATTCTCCGCTCCCCACACGACTTTGCGACTTCTCAATTCATGCAATTTCATCTAATTACGGACCAATCACGACGCCATTAACTCCATCCCTGCAAGCCTACTACACTGCAAACGGGGGTTTATGCTTCGATTGGTTTATTTCTGGCGTCTCTATATGCGTTTTCTTTTGGTGATTTCTCTTTTTGTACTGCCGCACTGGTATCTTTCTTTTTAGCCAGAACCAGGCGGTAGGGTTGGCAGGACACTACCATTGGCAAGGCAGTATCCAATTTTTGGACAGCTTCAGGTGTCGTATTGGATGCTGCCTTTCCAGTGATACTGTCTTGCCAACTCTACTGATACTGTCTTACAGCCACCAAGTAGAATTTCTGCTTTATCCGCCTTCGCAGACTTGTAGGGCGCGGAGACGATTTCGTTAGGAAAAAAAACGAAGCCGTCTCTCCCCGGCAAAACTCCCACGGCGGCAAAATCGTCCCTCCGCGGCATAAGTCGCGGCATAAGACTTTCCTCACTCCACCCAGGTGTGAATGGGTACCTAACTTCGGTTGGGGAAAGTCGTATTGAGGTCACCTTGTGGCGCCGAAAGGCAGCCGCACAGACCCTTGCGACAGTTCCACAAAAAATAATTGTGGAACAAATATGTGTATCATGTGTATTATTTGATTGTTGTAATTGTTGTGATACCCTGCATCAATTCAGCCGTATAAAGGCTGCGACTGCACTTGGACAATAAAAACCATAAGTCGCGTCGCTCACCGAAAAAAAAATAACGCCGCTCCCTACAAGTCTGCGAAGGAGGCTACGGATCTGCTTGCAGATTATGCGTTGCTAAGAACGTAACATGCCAGACACTGTGAAATCGGAACGGGACACGAGGCCGGTAATTTGTTCTTTCTAATGAGGTGGCCTCAAGAACCAAACTAGCAATTAATAGATCAAAGGGGAGAAGGGAGCAGGCCGGGCTGTAGACAGCTGGGGAGGAAGTACGCCCACAGGATGATTGGTTGATTTCACAGTAAAGTAGATCAAGGCCGCGGGCCGCGTACTCACAATGTTACATTTTATTGTCAAGTGTGCATAAAAAGCAGTTATTGATTATCAACTATTTCCCGACATATTTCATACAAACTCTCTCTCTCTCTCTCTCTCTCTCTCTCTCTCTCTCTCTCTCTCTCTCTCTCTCTCTCTCTCTCTCTCTCTCTCTCTCTCTCTCTCTCTCTCTCTCTCTCTCTCTCTCTCTCTCTCTCTCTCTCTCTCTCTCTCTCTGTCTCTCTCCCTCTCTCTCTCTCTCTCTCTCTCTCTCTCTCTCTCTCTCTCTCTCTCTCTGTCTCTCTCCCTCTCTGCCTCTCTCTCTCTCTCTCTCTCTCTCCCCCTCCCTCTCTCTCTCTCTCTCTCTCTCCGGTCTAAGGCGCCCTCCCCGAAACTCGGGGTTAGACGTGTGCATCAAGTGCAGGGGGGAGGTACAAACTTTCCGGCACCTGTGACCCCCTCATGGCGTCACGATTCCGGAAAGCTGACGCCTTGAAAGAAGTGAGTGGGTGTTATAGGACGACCTCCTGGCTCTCTGTCGCGTCGAATCAAAAGTGACAGAACGTAGCAGTACGTCTATTGAATTTGCTAGCACAGACAAGCTTCTCCTCTTAAATTTCATATTGTGTGGGTGCACAGGGGGAATCGAAACATCTTGCAACGCCTCACGGAAAATTTCACACAGACACCTCTACCCATAGCCTGGAATCCATCCGTGAACGCTTTATCTCCGCTCCGTTCCTCCGCTCTAACTGTCCGCTCTCTGGAGATAAAGCGTTCACGGATGGATTCCAGGCTACTCTACCCAATGTTATCACCTGTACCTCTCACTTAGAGAGTTCATATAGAACGACATATTGGCTTTCTGTCGACGTCGTGTCGAATCAACAGTACGTTTATTGAATTTGCTAGCAAAGAAAAACTTCCCATCTTACATTTCATATTGTGTGGGTGCACAGGGGAATCAAAACAGCTCGCAACGCCTTACGGAAAATTCCTCTACCAGGCAATGAGAGACAGAGACGCCATCACCACTCGAGACCGGAGAGACCTGCACTTAACATAAGGAAAGTCAGCAGCTCAACTAGGCTCTCTGTAGGAGTTTTGGATGACGTGGATGTATCAACCCACCCACCCATACTCCTAACGGGGAGCCTAGAGAACGTCACTCTACAGACCCGAAGAGAGACCGGCCAAACCGTGGTGGGGTCGTGAGGCGTAGCGGCAGCGTGCTCGACTCGAAACCATTAGGCCTGGGTTAGAGTCCTGGCACTTCACACGACTTTCATGAGTATTGCCTTGTCCTGTATTCGTCCTCTGCGTTGGTGGCGGCATAAAATAAGTTGATATAACTTGAGTGTGCCGTCACCATGTCTAGTCATGAAATGTTGGAATAAAAAATACACGGTAGACTGGAAACCGGGTTACAAGGGCGGATTGGGACTTGTGGTTGTGCGTAGCTGCCCTGTAATTAATCTTAAGGGATGCGTTAAGCATCAATCAGCTCTACCCTACTGTATGGAGGTCGCTTCCCGAGCGTCCAATTTGTTACACGTTTTACAACTCGTCAGCTATAGATATTCATCTCATTCTTTGCAGTTTCTTTGAATAAAAATGAATATGGAAATATTACCTACATTTGCACATAATAGCACTTTGCATAATCGTTCGCGAATTATATAACTAGCCTTCCCAGCGTCTTCCCAATATAGTATAGTCCACAGAAGGAAACATGTTGTGTTTCCTCGGTTTCTTCTTCAGATAGGGTCAATGACTTGGACCAAATACGTCTATCACCATGATGAAACAGGGAAGTAATTTGATAGGCCGGACCAAGTGGAGGCAAACATTATGCAGTTGCTTTGCAAATTTTCCTGGCTTTCTAGTTACAGCTGTTTCAGACACTGAAAGAAGTTATGCTGTACTGAAGTACAAAGTACTTTCACATATAGTTCGATGTTAAACGTTCTTCTAACACAAAGGGTACACAAGGATCAAATTTTCAATGACCACTGTCGCCTTCATCAGGATAATCAATGACGAATCACTTCCGAACTTACCCCCCCCCCGAAAGTTAGTTACAGAGTGACATTTCCAGAACCCCCATGCAGACCCTCATGTGGTGACAGAATTTGAAGTGGCCCTCTGGTTACGCCGGCTGTTGCCAGACCGTTCACGCAACACAAAGATCGAGTGTCAATGGTAAAAGGACGAACGTCACGCAAGCCCTTTCCGGAGCGGAAGCCTGTCTGACAGGTGTTGACTCTCAACATTGGATGTCGTGCCTGACCTGATTAGAAAGTCGTGGGCACAGGTTTGAAAGTGATCTCGTGTCCGATGAGTTCAGCTGAGCACGAAGAGCTAATCTTCTCACTGGTCGTCACAGGCGCTGGGTACGTACAGTGTGCAGCATCTGGGAAAGTTTGCCAGCTCTTTTGAAGAAGTAGAACAAAGAGTTGGCCAGGGCTTAACCTCTATAGGAACTGTGGCCCTAGGCTGTGAACTTTGCCGTGTTAGGCACAATTCCAGGATTTCGGCTCCTAGATCCTCAATTGTGCATACAAAGGCTATCACTATCCACTGTACTTTTTGGCTTGGCATGGATCCCGACTGGAAGATTCGAGGACCTTTACTACTACCGCTGCTGCAGGCTCGCTAGTAGCTTTACCAAGTACGCTACTAACGTCACAAGAAGAGCACAAACCGGACAATGAACTTAAAGCTCTCAAAACCCCAATGCTCATCAGCTCGCATCTTGGCTCTCAAGGTTGAAAAGGTCTTCCCTATGCCGTGTCGACGCCCCGATTTCATTTGATTAAAGTTGCTCCCTCCGACCCAATTAAGTATCAAATCACCAGAGCAGAAAACCTTGTTACAGAACGACTGGGGCCTTCAGGCGTTTGCAATCTATGCATTGTGTAGATCGAAGAAAGTTCCGTATAGAATCACAATTGATCTACAAGTGGTACAGATACACTCTCTTTACCTCTGGGATATACTAGGTATGACCTCAATAAGACCCAGACTCTGAACTCTGCCCCGTGTTTTGTGTGGACAGTACTTCACCTCACGAATAAACCATCAGATCCAAATTGAATATTTCATAGTGCCAGAATGGCTGAGGAGAATTCGTGAATTATTTCATGAACAATTTTTGACAAGAGGAATGCCAGAGTCTGTTTCGGGGACGGGGGCGTCTGAGCAGGTTTTCACGGTAAATTCAGGAAGGCTGGCAACTCGGACGATAGTACGATAGGCCGTTTGGAGACTTTTTGTCGTTGTACAACGAGGTAGCCAGCTGCCGCCGCGCCGCGTGCTTGCGAAGCTGATGCGGTACGCCGAAAACCTGTTGAAGCGGCTATACAGAAACATATATAACGCTAATATATCAATAACGCGAATTCATGACAACAAAAGACGTGCTACGTAGAACGTAAGCGACCAAGTACGTTTCAAGAATGATCTACAGACAACGCGGAAAATACACGTAGACCTTTGCCCGTTCTTTCCTTACAGTCACTTCACGCAACAGTTACACCACACTGAAAGTGTCACCTTGGAGTAACACAACCTCACTTAAAAAACGTAATTATATTTTTGTGACTATTTTCACCATTGGCATTTTACCAATGGCGGCACCATCGAAGCTGAAGGACAAAAAACACTGAATTTTCAAACTGAAGTTAGAACACCCATTTAAGTGTTGCTTGTTGGTAACCGCTTAGGTCTTGCTCAATTTAGAACATTTTCTACCCACTTCACTTTGTCTTCCCTTCAAAACACTTTCGGTTAACACGCTGAAACATGAGCGAGATTAATTCACTGTATGTCAAATGTAGGCTGATGGGGGCAGGAAAAGCAAGGCGCCTACGTGCTAGGAAAATAACAGGTCCATTTGCCAGGCCTGTTGGGGTGGCAAGAGCTCACCCCAATCAGCGCAATACGTGTGTAAATGTTTCATCTGCTACTTTGATTTTGGAAAACTAAATACAGCAGGCAATTTTATCTTTTACAGCCGGTTAAGTTAATGTACTACTTTTGTGAAACCGGGTCTAGGTCTCGCCAAAGCTGGATCAGGAGTTAAGAGCTAATCAATATTCTAGAGCACGTCGTCAATCAAATCTAGGACATTTCGGAATCACATCTCAACGTTATCAAAAGTAGCGTCTAAAAGTTATGGCCCATTGACATTAACATAAATGTTCACGTTGTGTTGTGTAGGTGGCGGCCGTGCATGTGTTAGTCAGGCACGTGGACGAGCTACGTGGCCCATTATAGGCAATATGTTCTACTTAAACACAACCCACGCGCACACGGCAAGTAGTTAACGTTTCATCATGAAGATAGAAGAAATAAAATAGGATAAAGAATTGAAGAGAACATGGATACAAAGAAAGTATTTCACCGACGTGGACTGAGAATATACTCGAACAACGGAACCAAAAATATCTATCATGAAAACCAATAAGCCTCCATGTATAATATACGTGTGTATTATATATCTCCATGGTTATACACAATCTCTCGCTGCAGGTGCCACGAATTAATTGCCACCCTCCTAGGGACCAATCAATTGGATGGGTGGAGGTAGGAGAGTAACTTTATCAGGCTACTCCGCTGCTTAGCCTATTCTAAAGTCGATCTAAATAAGATTCACAACCACAGCTGCCCGTTTATAACACACGTATTCGTGTTACTGCAGCCTGATCTACTCTTTCTCTACTGAAATATCACATCAAATGTCAACAGTACAACAAAACGCTTTTTTAGCTAGGAAAACGTTATTGTACTGAACGTATGACAGAGCAACATAGAAACTTGCTCTCAACGCCTGTATATTAGGAGGACCTAAGGTCAAATGTATTAGATAGAGCAACATGGCGCCAGTTAATTTGTTCAGTAACATTGCCATCTACCTCTCGTTCGTACATTCTGCTTGTTGTTTTCCTTGACTGAGCGGCAAATTATTGCTGACAAAAAGATGTGTTGCATATATTATACCGCGTGAATTTTCCCCACGAGGATACCTTTCCTGATTGAAGAGTCACGGAAAGACAATTATGATAACCACTGGACCATGGAAAATGGTTGTATTCAGGTAGAAATCCTGTTTCCGGATATACCCTTATGATAAGCCACGAAACCCAAACGACCCTGGCCTTTTTCTGGGTTGACTGTGATAATATGTCGTATCTGTCATCAGAATTCCCAACCCATTTAGTGAAATGTTACTTTTCAAGCATTTTCAGAAGCACATTGAGTAAATAGTTTGTCCCTTCCCCACAAGCAAACTGTGATGAACCCTAGAGACAGTCCTGGTCCTGGTTGTTAAGCTGTATTCCAACATGTAATCACCAGACGTGGTGACGGCACACTCAAGTTTTATCAACTTATTATCAATGCCGCCACCAATACAGGAGACAAATACATGACAGGACAATGCTCATTTTCACCTAAACGAAGTGAGTAAAGTCGTGTTAAGTGCCTTTCCCAAGGGCACATATGTACAAGGTCGGTGGCATGTCAGGACTCGAACCCGGGACCTCTAGGTTCCGAGTCGCGCACTCTGCCACTGCGCCACACGACCCCACCCCACAATGCAAGCTGTATTTGTCGGATCACTTCAGCCGAGATCTGAAATAACCTAGGAGAAAAAAAATCCAACAGTTCCTCCTACCGACACAATTTGTTCAGGACTAAAATTGGAAATTAACACACCATTTCTTTCTAATCACTAATTAGGAGCCCACTTTTGAAAAAATAATTGATACCAAAGTTTGTTACAATCAAAAGTCACTAATTGCGAGTGCACAGGTGACAGCGTAGGTGAGTGAGAATACGCCAGAGGCAGAGAGTGAGGATTACGGTACGTTAGTAGTGAGAGATCAAATGTCGCGTGTGGGTGGATAGACCTTAGTCTCCACCAGACTATCATTGGCCAGAGAAGATGTCCGCCTATAGAAGCTCCATGTTGCCTGCATGACAAAAAGTGGAGCTTCTATATGGGCGGACATCTCCTCTGGCCAATGATATCCACTTTGTAGGCCAATTTCTACTATTCATTCAGCCTGCAAAAAGAGTCTGATGGAGACTAGGTAGACCTCTAGACCGCTGAACAAGGACGAAGCAGTAGCAGAATCCATTAAGTAGACCGGCAGGCGCAACGGGAAAGGAATGATTTTAGTTGCCTATATGTATATATATATATTAAACAGTCGTTGCCATACATTGTACCATGTGCAATTGTCTTGCAATAAGTTCTTCTGTATTTGTGTAAATCTGTGTTACGAGTCGTGTAGTTCCCAGTGTGTATTTCCCGGTAAAATTAATACAGTAAATGAAATGGCTACAATTGTAAGTTCGCTGCTTTTAATAGTTCAGCACACCGCTTGGATTCAAAAGTTAGAAGGCACACAGGAGATACAGTCGAAAGCGTAACAATTTGTATGGCGGAAACGGTTGGAAGATTGTACTCTCCAAGCAGAGTCAGGGGTTGTATGCTTCGGCTTATTTCTTGACCTGGTTTAAGCGGTATCTCTCTTTTAAGCGGATTATTGTCTTGCCAATTTGGAACTATAATTCGATATAATATTGCGGCCACCAAAGCATCCGCTTGGAGATAAGGAAGATTGGAGGTCGCAGAAGCCGATGAGCACACACACAAGCATTCTTGCGGTCGACAGCAGACTTGTAAGTTTAGATCGTTCCAGAAATCAAGCATCGAGACATCCCTGAATAGTACTTCAACATCTAACCTTTCGTAACGTTGCGTCTAAAACATGTCTTACAATTCTCCACCGGAAATCTCTTGTGGTGTACATGTAATTAAGTTAACAACCTTGTGTAACGACACAACCAGGCCAGGCACGTGGGCGAGCTGTGTGCCTTACTTGAGGCTCACCCACCCGTAACAAGTGTGGTTTCGTCCACAAGATTCACCGTCTGCTCATAAATCTGCTGCCGCGCCAGCCGGAGTCGTCTTCACACCTGAGATCATCAGCATTAAATCTCTGAGTTTTCGCAGAAACCGGCTGCCCGCTGAGCGGTTCACTCTCTCTTCCACTTAGGAACCGTCGGAGTGTTGTACTCAACCATGTTCTGGTTCGAAGGTATGTGATACGTTTTAATGAATCTTCAACCTACAGTTTTGATAGATGAAAATATGGTCTTATATTTTGTGATTCAGCTGACACTTAGCTAGAGCTGCCTCCAAGCCGAAGAATATAATTTACGGACAGGCTTGTGATATAGCAACATATGGTACTGAATTATACCATACTGGTAAAGCCTGGGTAGATAAATAAAATTAAATGAAACGAAACTGGTATCGGTAAGATGGATCTTTCGTGAGGTTTTGTTTTTCTCAAGAAAACGTCAACCGCACAGACGCTTTAAGCGTCTCCGTCACTGTCGTTGTTTGTTTCGCATAACCGGTAAACCGCCTTTAGGCGGAACACACCGGTTTTGTACATGTACAAGCTGCGTAAGACCGGATTGTAAGGTTTAGACCAATCACACCGGAAGGTCCCCTACTCTTTTCGATAAGTGCGGTGGGTTCTTGAACGTGCGTGTGGTGTGGTTCTCCCCAAACACGGGACCTGCGCATTTAACGTCCTAAACGAGGGACGTCCCTAACCGAAGCTATGTACTCATTTCCACCTGAGTGAAGTAAGGAAAGTCGTGACTGCGCCACACGACCCCACTACTGAAGCCTGTCCTACAGACTGAAGCCTGCATACATGTATCTGAGCTCTACTCCAGTATCTTAGACCTCGGCTCCTCACGCAACACTAGTCTAGCGCCGCTTGACATTTAGAACATGTAGGGTGCCGTCATGTCTGCCGTGGGATCGGATCTGTCGAAGCCCGAGTCTTTTGCAATCATTTTGTTTCTGCTGGGAGTCTTTTGGGCAGGCAATTTGCCCTCTGGTCTCTGGTCGAAGGCTACTTTTGTCGCCCTCTTCCGCGGCAATGCCGATATATTTACTATACAGACTGTATATATATGTAGGTTATAGATTATAGGTCTCTCTTTTGTTCCTTTTCTCACCCTTTCCCTCCTTCCTTCCTTCCTCCCTCCCTCTCTCCCTTTCCCATCTTTCCTTCTTTCCATCCTTATGCCTTTTTCTTCCTTCCTTCCTTCCTTAGCTTCCTTCCCTGCTTCCTTCCTCGTTTTCCTTCCTTACTTCCTGTCACCCTTTGAATTCCTTCCTTCCTTATTAGTTCCTTCTCTCCCTCTCTCCTTCATTCCTTCCTTCCTTCCTTCATCCATCGCCAGCATCACAAAAGCTAAATTCTCTCCATCTTCCCCCAGAGATGGAGTACCTGAACCTCACGGAGGGAGTCTTCCCGAACGGCAGCTTGGGGTGGCCGTTCGAGCCCGACTGGGACGCGGCGTCGCCGCTGCTGCCCCGGGCGGACATCCTGGCCGTGAGCGCGGTGTACGGGCTGGTGTTCGCCGTGGGCGTGGTGGGGAACCTGGCGGTGGGGGCGTCGGTGTGCGGCGTGAAGGAGCTCCGCACCGCTACAAACTTCTTCCTGCTGAACCTGAGCGTGGCTGACCTGCTCGTCCTGCTGGTCTGCATGCCGATTTCGCTGCTGGAGATCTGGGTTCCCTTTCCGTGGCTGCTGGGAGAGGCTCTCTGTGAGTACTACCCGTTATATGTTCACAAAGGAATGAGTGAGTGAGGGAATGAATGAATGAATGGATGGATGAGTGGATGGATGGATGGATGGATGGATGGATTAATGGATGGATGGCTGTATGGCTGTATGGATGGATTGATGGATGGATGGATGGATGGATTGATGGATGGATGGATGGATGGATGGATGAATGGATGGATGCTATGGATGGATGGATGGATGAATGAATGGATGGATGGATGGATGAATGAATGAATGAATGAATGTTTGAACCTGAGCGTGGCCGACCTGCTCGTCCTGCTGGTCTGCATGCCGATTTCTCTGCTGGAGATCTGGGTTCCCTTCCCGTGGCTGCTGGGAGAGGCTCTCTGTGAGTACTACCTGTTATATGTTCACAAAGGAATGAGTGAGTGAGTGAATGAATGGATGGATGGAGGAATGGATGGATGGATGGATGGATGGATGGATGAATGAATGAATGAATGAATGAATGAATGGTGGGTGCCATTCCCATGGCTGCTGGGGGAGGCTCTCTGTGAGTACTACCTGTTATATGTTCTTAAAGGAATGAGTGAGTGAGTGAGTGAGTGAATGAACGAATTAATGGATGGACAGATGAATGAATGAACGAATTAATGGATTGATGGATGGATGAATTAACGAACGAATTAATGGATGGATGAATGAATGAATGAATGAATGAATGAATGAATGAGCCTGAGCCTGGATGACCTGCTCGTCCTGCTGGTCTGCATGCCGATTTCCCTGCTGGAGATCTGGGTGCCGTTCCCGTGGCTGCTGGGAGAGGCTCTCTGTGAGTACTACCTGTTATATGTTCTTATAGGAATGAGTGAGTGTGTGAGTGAGTGAGTGAGCGAATGAATGAATGAATGAATGAACGAATGGATGGATGGATGGATGGATGGATGGATGGATGGATGGTTGGACGGACGGACGGACGGATGGATGGATATCGATGGATGAATGAATGAATGGATGGATGGATGAATGAATGGATGAATGGATGGATGGATGAATGAATGGATGGTTGGATGGATGGATCGATGGAAGGATGGATGGATGGATGGATGGATGGATATCGATGGATGGATGAATGAATGAATGAATGAATGAATGGATGGATGGATGGATGAATGAATGAATGAATGAATGGATGAATGGATGGATGAATGAATGAATGAATGGATGAATGGATGGATGGATGGATGGATGATTGAACTGAGTGCCCTTTCCATGGCTGCTGGGCCGGGGGAACCCCTCTGTGAGTTAAACTCACTACATGTTCTTGAATGAATGAATGAATGAATGAATGAATGAATGAATGAATGAATGAATGAATGAATGAATGAATGAATGAACTGGCTAATAGCAGATGCCCTCTGTGAATTTCAAATCGTTACATTATAAAAGAAAGTACCAGCCGTACAGCCTATTAAGCAGAATTTGGGCGTAGGTGTAACTAATGTGTGACTAGTGTGGCTACACGTGCTCGTTAGAAGAATGAAGCGTTAATGAGCGTTGATTAGGCCATACCGACTTAATTTTATGGATGACATCCTCTGAAGACCCCCAAACGAGTGCGCGCGGGCGAATAAAAAAAAATTCGGGCCAAAAATAAAAATGCTACTAAACCACGTACAGGAATACAAAGTTGGTATTGTGAATTTGTGGCAGTACATAGCGACGTACACGGCAAGCCGGCACATGCTGGCTTTTTGCAGAATTGAGTAATCGGCACTGTACGTATGTACTGAGTTCTTGAGTCGTGGAGCTTCTGTAGCCTGGGTGTAGCCTAGCCTCAAGGGTTACCACCGGCCCCGTATTGTCGCTAACTACCATGGAGTACCCAGGCCTAGATAGAGCCAGACCAGACGTGATCTTTTTTTTTAACAGTGCGCGCGTGGATGTCATCCATAAAATTAAGGCGGTGTGGTCTTTCCTCACACTTCACACAATCATCGGCGTCGCAGCGAAGTCGTCTGCGTAAGTTGAATAGTGTGAAAACGACATCGCCTTCATGTCATTTGAATGTTAAAAGTGATTATGACTCTCTTCACAAAGCTGTTTGTAACAGTAGATTCCTGGAAGAAGCTAATTAGTTTTTTTAGCGGCGTGTGCAGAATGTACTAACAGTGGAGGAAAGGTCAGGAGTTGGCTGTTAACGGGGATCTACTCATAACTTTTTAGGTTACAATTACAACAAGTAGCCTCTACCAGGCTTCGGGAGGCGGCTGGAAAGAGTGAAAATCGGCCAAATAGAGAGATAGCATACCGGGGGAGTTGATCTGCTGAAGAGAACAATTTGCCGCTCCCGTTCTTTTGTTGGAATTACTTTTATACTGTTTGGTCGTAGCGACTCCGCACATGCTTCGGGAGCGGCAAACTATTCTCTCCAGCAGACCAACTCCCCTGGCATGCTAATCTCTCTTTTTGGCCGATTTCTAGTCTTTCCGCCTCCCGAAGCCTGGTAGAGGCTAACAACAAGAGTTTCCTTTGATACTGAGACGACTGTGCCAAGACTACCCTCACTATGAAAAAACTTAAACTTTTCTCCAACTCAAAATTTGACTCACCAGAAATTTTCGACTGAATCACTCAGTCTAGTAGTACTAGTCTTCCTCAGCTATCTGACCCAAATGCTGTGGACACGTTGATAGCTGAGGAAGACTGAGTGATTCAGTCTAAAATTTCTGGTGAGTCAAATTTTGAGTTGGAGAGTTTTTTTCATAATGTAATTTACCAACTCAGATGAACTTTCATGCTGTAGAATACCCTCACATTGTTATCGTTACGGTAATACTGTCGTACGGCATATTGAGAATTAGACTGTTCTAGATCTCAAACTCAAAAGGACAAAATTCGACTCACTAAAAGTCTCGACCGACTCTCCCTGCCTTAGTCAGCTGTCTAACCCAAGTACTGTAGACACGTGATCTTCCGCACATGTGACGTCAGAACTGGGTCAAAGTTCGTTGGAAGTCGGTACCGCCCCCCGTCCCGGTTGAGAGAAGGCTGGTGAACCCTGATGTAGATGGTCTCCTTCACTCCTCTCACAAAGTGTTCGTATGAAGCTTGTGACAGGGGCATTGTCCTCGTTTTCTTTACCTCTATCCGTATAGGCATATCATGTATCCATAAAACGTTCAGCCCATTGAATATTTCATCGTTCAAGTTTCTTCACTTTGTTGGCACTTGGCAGTGTAAACTTCGAAGTAATAACAGTAATAACTTCGAAGCCGGATTTCACGATAGCCAAATAACAGTCAAATAGGGGTCGCGGCCTGGGGCTCGCCCACAGCTTTTTAGATGTGCGCCTTAATGTCTACTGCATATGATTATCAGGAGGTAGACCGAGGTGATGCATACGTAATGAAGAAAAGTTTGAGAAGTGTGCATGTAGGTCAGACACGACTCATCAATTTTTCTGGCAGCAAGCCTACAGAGAATGAATAAGAGTTCAAAAGGCTGCGAAGAGATATGATGAAATCATAAAAAGATTATCCGGTGACCTATACTTTGTCCGATTTTCTTAGATTAAAAGTGACCCATTTTCTAAGGCTATTATAATGACAATGACAATGACAATGAACTTTATTGCATGTCACGCCCTACACGGGCCAAATGCACTTAAGTTAAATATAAGGCACATATATACCAGACAAACAGAAAGCCGACTAGACAAGTATTACTGTAGGTTGGGCTGGAGTACAAAAAGATAACAGTAAAAAAAAGAGAGAGCCCGATAAAAACACGTCAGACATCAGCCAAAGCTCGCCTGATTGGATCATGGAGAGTATTCCAGTAGTGATGTTCTCACTTCTTAGGGTCACCCTTGCACATAGTACATTTAGAGAGGCTGTCTCCTACATTTATACCATCTTTATACCTATCTGGCCGGTCTACATGGACGGAAAAGTCTCTAGCTCAGCGCCGTGGTTATTCCAGACTTTCTCGGTTTGTCCCCAGTGGATGTCTCCTACATTTATATCATTTTTATATCTACCACCTCTACGTGGATGTTAAAGCTTCCAGCTCAGCGCCTTGGTTATTCCAGACGGGTCGGGTTTGTCTAAGTGGCTAGATAGGAAGAGACGAATTATATCAGAGTCACCAACCATAACAGCTACAATTACATACGGGGCGTAGCAACGTATGCGCATCAAATACCATGTCATGTTACATCTAGACAACCACAACACGCGGGGCAGGAGACTGAACTTTCTAGGCGCTTCGCTGAGCAGGAAACGTGTCAAAGATGTGATGAGACAATTATAATTGTTCTCACTCTCACCGTGAATGGCTGGGAATGGCTGAGAATACTAAATACGCGATTTGTCTCGCCTGACCGGAATTAAACTTCACATCATGTCTAAGCCAGGTCTACATGGAATTCAAACTAGACAGTCTTTTATTCCTTCATATTAATCGAGGCGGTTTATATCTTGAAAGATAACTGGCAGTTCTAGCTTTAATTTCCTGTTTCTTTGAGGTAGTTTGCATTTCAATTTAAAACGCCCCTTGGCTGGTATTAAAGGCACATACGAGTACGAGCAACAGCATGATAAGAACGTATCAGCCGCTTACTGATAGGTGTAAATATTTTATGCCATGATAATGATAGAAAAACATATCCAAGTGTACAACGCGTAGTATCAGGAATTTGCCAGTAGTAAATTTGCGGTAAATTGATAACGTAGATACATGTATTTACATGTTTATTACACTGTACTTACAAAACAGATCTGAGGAAACGAATAATACTAATAAATATTTCTAATGAGCTTAGACAAACCTTCTATATTGAAACATACCTGTTCTTACCTTTTCACCATTACTGAGAAACGAGAAAAAAACGAATTTACTTAATTTTTGTAGCTACTTATATAATGTATATAATGTAACGTTATCTGTATTCCATCCTTTTATTGTGACCTGTACTTAACCCAGTGGGTGTGTGTGTACAATAAAGGTTTTCATTCAATAAAATTGCAATAAAATTTATACATAGCTATGGCAAAGGTCATTCATCCCATTGTAAGATACGCACCAACAAAATATCAGTAGCAAAAAAGTATTCACATGGGGCCTTACAATCATTGTTCTTAAAGTCAACAGGTCATCGATGTCAATTATATAAGAAATGCAATCACTATGCAAGAGAGCGTTTTAACTACTTCGCAAAATCTTCTCTTTTTTTCGTTAAGCTGCGAGTGGATCCATGCCATTGCTGGAAGTGTATTTGATAGATAGGCACCGGAAATACCGATTGACTAGGGTCACTTCTCTCCGTCACATCGTAGAAATTGGATTTAGCGTTGATGCGATTTTGATTGGTTTGATTCAATCTTGACTCAGTCGGGGATTCAGCAATAGACTACGCGGGCCAGTCTGGCTGCTGTAGGCAGGGAAGAGGCTGTCTACAGGGAATAGAGAATTACCTCGGACACGATGGTTGTGCTCGCGTGATGTTCACGGCCAATGCTCATCTTTTGATTTTATTTTTGATTTTATTGAAATTGCAACGATGCAATGCACTCGGAACAGAGCTGTTGCTGGTGTTGTGTCCAGCACATAGAAACAAATACAGGACAGACAATACTCATTTTCACTTGAATCTAGTGGGGAAAGTCGTGTAAAGTGCCTTTCCCAATGGCACAAGATCGGTGGCATGTCAAGACTCGAACTCGGGACCTCTTGATTCCGAGTCACGCACGCTGCTGCTGCGCCACACGACCCCATTTTGAAGAGTCAACCTTTACTTCTAAGGATTGTGTTTTCTTTCACCCCGTTGGGACTAAAATCTCCATCTTCAACAGCCATATAAGACACGAAGATCGTGTTGATTAAGAGGAGATTTGCTGGCTGTGACTGTTGATGACAGAAGAATCCACCTCCCGCTCCTACAGCTTGTCTTTGAATGAAGTACACTTATCATAGTTATCACAGAATGACATTTTCATTTCTGGTAAACTGATAATTCTTATCCACTGCTTGGGATCAAGACTAAGTTATCACAGTATTACATTTTCCATTCATTTGGGCTGAAGCCCCTCTGGGGGGGGGGGCTAAAAGTGCCCGCGCCAACTTTGATGTCAAATATCGTCTGAACGGCTTGCGCAAGAACCACCAAACTTGGTGACTTTTCCTAAAATGTAGTTGGCAACGATTTCGTATCAGTGTAATAAGTTAATGTTGCCATGGCAACGGGATTCTGTTTATGACCTTAATAATCCGAGGTGCTCAGTTATTGCCCTTGTTGAGTGTATGAGCGGATTACTTTTATGCCTTCTGATCGTAGCTACTTCTCACAGACTCCGTGAAGCAAATGGACCTTCTCTGGCCGGCCAACTCCCCTCGTCAATGATACCCTCTTTTTAGGCCTATTTCTACTATTCATTCAGCCTGCAAAGGAGTCTGGAGGAGACTACTTACCGAAACGTACACTTCGGTTGTGCAGCTAAAACCCCAAGCCAGTGCAGTACACATTGATTTACGAACCTCGCGAAAATGTTCAAGGGAGACCAGAGCTGCTTGCACGATGCTAACGGAATCGATGACCAAGTGTCAATGTCTCAAAACTTATTACTTCCCAAAGTCTGCAACAAAAGGGTCTGAAGACTTGAAGTCGTGTGAAATCCAAAACTGTGAGGGAAGAATCAGACTCTTAAAGATTTTCCCACGCACATTTCACACTACTGCCAGGCTTCACGCAAATCTATCTTGGCACTTGCGAGGCGCAGAGCTGACGCTTTTGTCCTCCTAAATGGCCCGTCAAAAAACTCGCTAGGCAGCTTCGCCTCTAGAGACTTGTCTGAATGCATCAGTCAAGTCTCCCGAGGTCTGGTGAGGGCCTTCAAGATCACGGTCGAGGATTACTCTCTGCTCTTAAGCGATCATTAGGCCCGGAAAAGAGCAAAGGTCTCAGGATTTACGAACATACAGAGCTAAGTATAACTGATCTCTCCTTGACCTACCCGGCAGTCAGGAACTCAGGGAAAACTTCTGCTGTCAAAGTGTTGTTTGCGGGCCTGTATGCCCTTTTCTGTCAAGCGTTATGCGCTGTTTTATTCACAGTTAATCCTAGCCAGTAACCATTTTGGGAATTTTTGCTCGATATACATTGGGATAGTGTGGTTTCAACTTAGTATGTAGAAAAATCACTAAAATGTTGGCTCTGAAAAATCGGGTTTTCAAACCCTAAAAACTGCACTGGATGCGTTGTCGACCCAGATGAATTTACCGTTTAGCGTCGCCAGGACCCCCATGCAGACCCTCTTCTTTATTCGAGGCACGAAACATTAATCGGTTGTGTTGCCGTAGCCTGACTACATCACGGTCCTAGCGATCTGCCCACCGTCCGGCCCTCGAGAGGTGCCAATTATTACCCCGAGATCATGAGATGGTGTACGGCAGGCTAGCTTTTCTGTATCATGAGTTTCTGTATCTGATGTACTGATGTTCAACAACAATAATCCCGATAAACAAAAAAGCCATTTTCACTCCCCTGGAGCTTGCAACGATGCACTCAGCCAATCTTTGGAGACTGTGTTGCCCGTGTAGGTAATCTCATGGACCATTGCAGTGGTACCAGATAACACTTCATCATATCAGCACTTCGGTTCACGAAGACACATTATTGTTACCTCCATGAAAAATGGAGGTATTGATTTTGGCGCGTCTGTGTGTGTGTGTGTGTGTGTGTGTGTGTGTCTGTCTGTCTGTCTGTGTGTGTGTTTGTGTTTCCGCACATTTGTAGTCAGCATAACTTCATAACGCCTTTATGGATTGTGATGATATTTGGTATGCTGGTAAGTCTTAGGAAGACGAACGTCAAGGTCAAATATGGGCCTCCTGGTGGATGACCTTGGTACTGCAGCAGAACTTCCGCCTTTTGTATCTTTTGTTCTGAACATGCTATGGTCTTGACTTTTTGGTGACAGATTCCTTTTCCTGACAGGAATAAGTGGTGTGGGTTTGGTCCCCCTAGCAGCTAGTTCTGGAACTGCAGGGGACCTTGGGGCGAAATCTTGGAGCCAATAAGTCCAGATAGGAACAACATATTTTCATCATCTTTGGTAGGTAGGTAGCTGAGAGAGAAAGATGTACATAATTAACTGCAAATTATGCAAATGAGGACTTTATTTGCATAATTAATGAGAAAATTCTATAATTACAGTGTTTGACATTATAGTACTTTCATAGATGTAATGTATGTAACCTATGGCAGATATAACATCAACAGATACTGATTATGCAAATGATGACCTAATTTGCATAATTAGTGCGAAAATTCTATGATTTCTTAATGGTGAATGATGGGAATGTCATACTTGGGACATCTGTAAGTTAATCAAAATTTAACATCACGATGCATATATTATGTTAATGCAGAGGTCATTTGCGTAATTAAGGAAGAAATTTACATTTATATATCAAGCCCATATTTCATGGAGGTATGAGATCTCGGAACTCTTGTTAGACAAGAGGATAAAGATGCTGTACCCTTATGCTGAGAAGAGAGGATTGATCTTTATGCTGTGCATGTTCTTCTTCCTCTGCGTGACTACCATCATCATGTCGATCATTCTGTCACTTCTAGTTATCTGAAGAAATGCGTTACACCAATGTTACTATAAACTCTCCAAGCAGAGGTTGTGGGGAATGATCGTTACCTTTTCATATATGGCCGTTTTTTTTGTCCTGATCCCCGTCGGTGGCTAATGGAGCTTATCTGGCTAATGGATACTGTCTGGCCAATTTGATACTGTCTTTTTGCCACCGAGAGGGATCTGCTTGGAGATTAGTTATTATAGTTTTCTCATCTTATCAACGGAGGGGTTATGTATCATGTCTGACGTTTGATAGATGGCTTAGAGTTATCTGTTTACTCTTCCAGGAAGAGGTATAATGAGGTGAATGATTTCTGAAGACTTGAATTTCAAAGAGAGAGGCAGTCAGACCTGTCTAGAACGATCCCTAAGGGGAGTTGAAGAATAAGGTTACTACAGTAGACAGGCAGTCTCAGAATTACAAAGGACCTGGTGAGAAAGATCAATATAAAAACTAGAAAGGCCGACATTTGCTCAGGAGCAAGTGCAGCATGGCCTCACCACATCCCCCGTACCAAAAAGGGACTGTTTTCTGTTCGAATTACGTCAGATCGAACATGGTTCGGGTTCTACAGCAACGTGTTTGTTATTATTGCAGGTAAACTGACGCCGTTTTTTATTTTTAAGGTGCTGGGGTTCCTGGCATTCTAGCTAATGCAAAGGTGGTCATTTGTATAGTACCAGTAGCCAGGTGAACCCAATGCTAATTTGGTACATGTTTGACTGTTGCCATTGCAGGTAAACTGACACCGTTTTTCGAGGTGCTGGTGTTCCAGGCGTCCATCCTGACCATGGTGGCGGTGTCCGCGGACCGGTACCAGGGAGTCTGCCACCCGCTCCTCACCCAGTCATCCAACCGCCGCCGCCGGGCGCTGCTCTCCATCGCACTGGTCTGGGGCATCTCGCTGGCTGCCAGGTCGGACTACGTTTTGTCATACTTTTTATAATGTTTCTGTAATTGTCAAAGACATTCTAAAACGCCCTTGGTTTATCTTTTAAAAGAGTGTCCAAACACTGATGAGGACATTTCGTGTTAATTGCCACAGCTCGTTGCTAATGTGCCAAGAACTTCACATTTGTCACTAGCAATGGCCCGATGGAAATGGAAATCTGATCGATCTGGGGCATTTCGCTGGCTGCCAGGTCGGACCATACATACTAGTTTTTCTTACTGCCATACGTCTTATTTTGTTAACCTTCGTACAAGGAAAACATATTGCTTTTGCTCTGTTTCTTCTTCTTCAAACACATGAGGCCTGGACCAAACGTCTTATGGCGTGGAGTCCAAGATGTGCTACCCCGACCAGTATTGTTGGCGGGGTAGCGGATCTTAGGGAGCGGACTGAAGCTATTAAACAAGGTCGGACTTCAGGCTACAAACGGCTGTCACCATGGTAACTGGTGCTGTAGCAGACACCCTGTGGTGTTGCGTTACATTATGTAGCAGGGCAGAGGGGCTGGTCACCAAACACTAGTATATGAACGGAATGTGTTGAACGAGTAGGTAATAAGAATGAATAGAGCAATGCTTTGTTAGGCTAGAACATGTGAAGGTAAACAACATGCTTTTGCTTTGTAGTAATGTTTCTAGTAATGAAGAAAAAACTGACTACAGGACGGATGTTTTTTTTCGGTCGAGTTTTTTTCACAGGGACATGCCCCTACACTTTTGCGATACTAAAAGCCCAACGGCCTAATGAAAATTGAAATTTACTAATCTAAAAGTGCACTTGGCCAGCAGCAGTCCTGTGCTGCACATCGCCACCTACACGGAGCTGGACCTGAACGGCACGGTGGTGTGCCAGTGTAACTTCCCGGTGGACTCGGCGTGGAAGAACCACTACACCACCGTCATCACGGTAGGGTTCTTCGTGCTGCCGCTGCTCGCTCTGTCCGTCATGTACTTCGCTATCGGCAGGAGGCTCATCCGCCCGCCGGCAGGGGAGACCAGCGCTCACCTACAGGTTTGGGTTTACTGATTGTATGTGCAGTCTTCCTTCCTTTATTGATGCCTTCCTTTTTCCTTCGTTCCTTCCTTCCTTTCTTGCTTGTTTTCTTCCTTCCTTCCTTATTTCTTTTTTTCTTCCTTCCTTGAGTTCTTGCTTGTTTTCTTCATTCCGTCCTAATTTCTTTCATTTCTTGCTCCCTACCTCGTTTCGTGCTTTCATTTTTTCCTTGTTTCCTTCCTTCTTTCCTTGTTTCTTTCCTCCTTCACTCACTTGCTCACTCACTCACTCACTACACCACCGTCATCACGGTCGGGTTCTTCGTCCTGCCGCTGCTCGCTCTGTCCGTCATGTACTTCGCTATCGGCAGGAGGCTCATCCGCCCGCCTGCAGGGGAGACCAGCGCTCACCTACAGGTTTGTGTTTACTCATTCATATTGTCTGTGCATTCTTCCCTCCTTTATTGATGCCTTCCTTTTTCCTTCGTTCCTTCCTTCCTTTCTTGCTTGTTTTCTTCCTTCCTTCCTTATTTCTTTTTTTCTTCATTCCTTGAGTTCTGCTTGTTTTCTTCATTACGTCCTAATTTCTTTCATTTCTTGCTCCCTGCCTCGTTTCGTGCTTTCCTTTTTTCCTTGTTTCCTTCCTTCTTTCCTTGTTTCTTTCCTCCTTCACTCACTTACTCACTCACTCACCCACTCACTACACCACCGTCATCACGGTCGGGTTCTTCGTCCTGCCGCTGGTCGCTCTGTCCGTCATGTACTTCGCTATCGGCAGGAGGCTTGTCCGCCCGCCGGCAGGGGAGACCAGCGCTCACCTACAGGTTTGGGTTTACTGACTGTATGTGCAGTCTTCCTTCCTTTCTTGATTACGCCCTTGTTTCCTTTCTTTTTTCTTCGTTCCTTCCTTTCTTGCTTATTTTCTTCCTTCCTTGGTTGTTTTCGTCATTCCTTCCTTCTTTCCTTCATTCCCTGCTCCATGTCTGGTTTCTTTCTTTCCCTTCTCCCTTGTTTGTTTCCTTCCTTCCTTCCTCCTTTTCTTTTTGCCTTCTTCCTTCCTCCCTTATTTCCTTTCTTGCTTCCTTCTTTCTTTCCTTCCTTCAGGCCTTGTTCCTTCCTAGCTTGTTTGCTTTTTGCCTTCTCTTTTCTTCCTTGAAGTTCTTTCATTGTTTGCTTTCTTTCTTTCTTACTCACTCACTCACTCACTCACTCACTCACTCACTCACTCATTAACTCACTTACCCACTCACCCACCCACTCACCCACTCACTCACTCACTCACCCACTCACTCACTCACTCACTCACCCACCTACCCACTCACTCACTCACTCACTAACTCACTCACCCACCCGACC